GACTTAATTAATAAGTACTGTAAGTTCAATTCTTACGAATTGTCTTTGAAAATTGTACGTTTAATTTTTATTTTATAAAAAATAATCGAGGAGAGATATTTCTAAATCGTAGTGTGTGTGGTTTACCTATATGAGTAAATTTTACATGCTATTTCAACAGCCACATTATATACTTTTCATTGCATTTATCTTCGAGATCTTGTCTATTGGCATTTCTTACCCGTAGTAGGTACTAGGTAGTTATTGTACGCATATTATAGGCGTATAGAATATAGATGATACTACTACTACTATTACTACTTGACAATGCAGACATAGTGAATCCCATTGTTAAAAAAAATAAGTAAAAATAATTGTATCTTGTTAGTTGACTTATTATTATGGCCGCCATCGAATCCCATTTATGTAGTATATTAAATTCAGATTGGTTTTTAATATCCATACCGCATACCGCTATTGACTTTGTAATATACAATTCTCACGGAGGAACTACAGCACTGCAGCGGCCTGCCCGGTGATCAGGCGAAACCAGTTTAATTGTCCTTGGCCTCTTGTATCCCATGCGCGTATTATATACAGTACATAATATTATTTATAATATATACAATATACGTATACCTTTAGATGATATATATTATATATATATTATGCACCTAAGAATGAAGTTATTTTGTATTCAATACGAGCAGCTTCGGTTCCACATGTAACGCGCGCACACGACCAGTACGATATAATATACACATTAATGAGGACATAATTTTTGGATGGAAAAAAAATAATACCAGTGGTAAACCGAAGGGGGTTTCCATAACCGCATGGGTGGTCCTATCAGATAAATTGTCATCAAACCCTCGGAATGTAGTTTACAACAGGCTTCCTGCACTAATGATCTCGAGGATCCACTAATTCCCTGGGCCATCTTCGTAGCAAATAGAGTGGTTCCTACGATCATATCCGTAAACTGTCAGCAAGTTAGATTTTATCTTTGTATATTATAGTTACGTGATTACGTGTTTAAGGTATGGAGAGACAGAAATCTTATCTGATGAGGCAAAATATATTATATCAGTTGTTGAAACCGAAAATAATGGCCAATAAAAAGAAACATAATGTCAGAATGGGCATTATTTTTCAAAAGAATGAACATATTAATTTAAACAGTAGGTATTAACTATTGAATAAGTGTTTATTTTCATTATATTGTTATAAACATATGTTTGGATTTTGAGGAGTAACATTTTTTGACTATAGTTTAACGCCTACCAAATTGATTTATAAAAATGTCTTAAAATCCAAGAAAATTTGAACGGCATTAAAGAGTAAGAAACTATAAAATCAATTACTTACATAATGGGCAAAAAATATTTGATAATCAGCACTTAACTTTTCTACAAAACTAACAGAAAGTATTTTACTATAAAATATAAAAGCAAACTTTTTCATATTCAAATATAATTCAGTATACTTCACTTTTCTGTGCATAAAATATTAAAACAACACTAGCCCTTCATCTAAATTTATTTTCCTATGAAACCGTAAACAAAGAGTCAAAGTAGCTACTGTAGTACCTACTGTGATTAATAATAAAGCTTCAAACACTACAATTATGGTTGAACACTAAAGCTAAAGATACTATGATGACCCTAAGGCTTAGTGCTATTACAAAGATATATCTTTGCATGAAAGGCATATAATTTAATATAGTAATGACCGAGTATACCTACATACTGATCTTAGATTAGAAAAAATATTGGTTGGTAATAGGTATATATTTATTTTAAAGTAAGATAGAGGTAAAATTTAAATTGCGAATCCTCTAGACCACATTTATAATTGTATTTATAAATGTATAAAGAATAGGTACAACAAAATTGGCTAATAAGTAATAACGTTTTATTAGGTATAACCACAAGTATAAAAATTCAAATAAATTGTAAGTAGTAAGTACCATAATAGTGTTTGGTACTGATTAGTAAACTAGTATAGTACCTTGCATAGTGTATATTTTCCTTTGTATATCTGTATTTACACATTACACTTTAAAGAACTGAAAACTTATTTCCTTAGCAAGTTGAATTTTATGAAGGTGTGTACACAATTTTGAAACTAATAATTTATTTTTAAGGAAATATATGATTTAAAGTAATAAATTACTTAGGTTAGTTAAGTAAGTAGGTAGACTATGACTTCCAAGCAAATATATGAAAGGTAAATGTTCTATGTTCTATTTAAAAAAATACTAAATAGCTGAACATTTTATGTTAATTTGAATTGCCATCATCGGTATAAAAAAAAGTATATGGATAAATACCATGGTAGGTAAGAGGTAACCAACATGACCAAAAAGGTAACTACTGCAAACTAAATCTCAGTCTAAATTAAGGTAGGTACAATTGTTAAGTGTATAATATTTATGTTGATAAGACTGATGTAGGTTGATGTGTTGAGCAGTTGAACTACCTAACCAGAGTATCTAACCAAATCAAATTCATATATTTAGGAGATCAATAAAATTACACTGTTAGCTTGTAATATATTTTAATCTATTAACATATGTAATCTGTACGACTGTGAGCTTGACTGAGAATAATAAACTAAAATGGAGTGAATTTGGACAGTTGATGGCACTTGCAACATAAGTAGGTAACTATAATTCACTAAAAAACTCATTTCTTACCTATTAAAGTGCTTAATATATTATATCAAATGTATTTAATTACCAATTTAGTATATTTTATAGATGCCTACTCAATTGTACATAATAATTAAGTTGTTAAGTGCAAATATGTTAAATAATAGTAAAAAGTCATTACTTAAGTAGATACATTTAATACTACAAATTTAAGAAAATGGATGGTACCTATATAGTATTTACATTAGGAACTTATAAACTCTCAAATATATAATAACCTCAATATTATTTTTGTAAATACCTACCTAATAGAATAATATGTAATAAAAAAATATTAAAACCTGGAGTTATAACTCTAATTACAAACCACATAGGATATACCTACCTACCTAACTATAATGTATGTTTTTGTTTCAATTATTGGTAACAAAATTTCAATATAATGAAAAAAATGAACACACAGGTAGGTATGTTAATAAAAGTAGGTATATATACTTAAATATTCCATACATGTCTGTCCACCTACTCAAAATAGTAGATAATTACAGGGGTTATTAGTTAAACATGATCATTAAACAATTAATTAGTAAACAAACTTTATATAGGTACATAATATGCTATGAATGAGTTTATTTCTGAAGTTAAAAATTTCACAAGGAAAAAATAAATATGTATACTGTATACATATTATGTGCACTAACTTCCAAGATTTGTACTTAATTTCAAAACGTCTATCCAACTCACTGGACCTCTAAAGAGTTCAAAAATGTTTATACATTGATTTTCTAGGTATGAATAACTGTTTTGTATCAACTATGTTCCACAATACTATCTAATGAATCAATGTCTGGGTATATTACTATTACATATTATAGCTATGGAGTAGATAATTTGTTGGTATATTTAGATAGATACAAGCAACAGATGATTAACAATACCTAAACCGCCTGCATTATGATTGTACATTTTTTTCTGTCAAAGTAGTAAGTAGGTTAATCTATTTCAACATTTATGACAATCAAAGAAAATATCTAGACACCACACAATAGTGTATCACTATATATCATGTGTTTGTTTACAAACAACTAACAAGTATAGATACAAATTAAATAATATTTATAGGTGGTTATTTTTTTTTCAATTGGACAAAAATAACAAGCTAATTGTTTGATCTAAACACAAGTAAGTGAGAAGGTACAAAATGTTTACTGAAATTGACTGTTATAGATACAAATCACAATTGGATATACCTAATCTGGGCTTATTCTCAGGCATAATTACCCATAAATAATAATGAAACCAAATTATAATCATTAGGTAGATAAGTATTCAAATGTCATTTAAAAAGAAAAATGCCCATAAACACATTTTAAATGATAAGTAACCTAACTAGGTACAGTCTACAATAAAGTATTCTACAAAATATATAAACTACCAATTATACCTAGGTATGTACAAAATGTAATAAATAACAAAAAAAATGTCATGAGAACTACCAAGTGAGAATGGCAGATAGTATCATTGATTAAACATAGTAATTAGTAATAATACTATGCTCCTACCGTCTATAATCAATGGTAAAAGTTACAAATGAAATTATTCCAGACACAATAAGTCTTTACTACCAGAGCATAGGCTCGCTTATAGGTATATATCACAATAACAACAATCTAGTTACCTTATCACTGACTGATAATAAACTTAGATATGAGCTCCTGGGTAGGACACTAGGACAATAGGCACAAATTAATAATTTATAATTAAAATGTAAAAAATAAGTAGGTGACAGATGAACAATTATAATTTATGAAGTACAACACAAAGAATTATAGTGGAAATAAATAATAATACCATTAAGTGATCATCTCCAGTCTTTTAAATAAACAAACCAATATGATTGGCTTCAATCACAACTTATATTACAGAATTTTGTACAACATTAAGACGTAGGGAACCAATTTTAAAGCAAAAAAACAATATTCGAGACAATAGTTGAATATTTATTGCTAAACATTAGTAAACACAAAATAACGATATCGAGTAAGTTTTATTTTGTGTAAGGCATCATAGTCAGTGACTTAAATAACCAGTGGGTATATTTTGTCATTTCATATTTGTTTGGCACATAAAATCATATGAAATCGTTGCTGAAATGATAATAATCGACGATCTGTCTTCTTGCTGCAGTTGGGTATGTAGACAGGTGGGTACCTAGTTCACGACTCGACAAATTCGTATCCCACCCCTAGGTAGGTACGAATACAGTATGTAAGTATTATACGTCTTTATTGAGCCTATGCTCATGTGGGTAGGTACCTACCAACTCAATTCTAGGTGGGTACATATTATTATTAAAGCACACTCATACTTAGGAGAGCAATTTTTACAGCACTCACTTTGACGGTCATCCGGGTACGATAAGTCTCGAGGTCCGCAAACGAAAGAATATTTTAAAAACACAGACGGAGACCACAGATAGCGACGCAACACTTTCGGTACACGGTGCCGAGGAACTGGCGTTCAGGTATGTACCAGGTACACGGGAAATCGACGACACGACAGGATATTTTTATTGGGTTCCTGCGATTCAACGTTGATATCGCCGTAATGCGAAACGCAGTGGGACGAGCGAACCGTTCCACGGACGGGAATATCGGGACGAAAATAAAATATCGTAAGGACAAGCGAGACGGTCGCCACGAATTAAAAGCAATACGATCAACGATCACGACAGAGGCGATTGTCAGGCCACACCGATGCGGCGACGATCAACGACGGGACGACGACATGACACACGGAAACGGACAACACAGCTAAGCGGCCGCGGTAAACAAACTGGCACTCGGGCCGCCGTCACCAGTCACCACCACTTGGCACTCACCGCCGCAGAGGCGCGCGCACGCCGTTGCCGTCACCGTCGTAACCGGCACCTGCAGCTGGCGCAGCGGCCCATGCGTACACGGCGGCGCGGTGTGTGGATGTCATGGAGGAGAAAAATTATTTCTAACCCTCCCCGCGCGCGCGGACAACTGCCCGTCCGTCGCGGCAACGATATCCCGTCGTCCCTCCGCCCGACAACGCTCGTTACCCCCGACACCGCTCCGCACCGCTCGACAAACCCTTTGTGTGTGGTTTATTTTTATTTCATTTTCTTTACGCACATCTTACGAAGCCGTGCTGCCGCCGAGTTCTTTAGTGGACCCATTTTCGAAATAATATGATGTTTAAACGATACACACAACTTAAGGGAATATAATATATATTAGGTATATATAGGGTAGATACCTATACCACATATCTGGTTATAGGTTTACACGCTGTAATATGTATATACGGTATACAATATATAATATATAAACACCGCCGCGGACGAACGGTGAATCGTACGATGTTAGTGTGCAAGGGTGGTTTGCGGGTAGTGGGTGGTTGGGTGGGTGAACGCACTCTATAACTACTATATAATAGAAACTCTTATGTGCCTATACATAGGTATACGCGTGCATACGGTACCTACCCCTCAACCCGCCCAACCAACCGAAACTCAATAATAATAATAATGATTTTATTACTTTATATTATATTGTTATTGTGAAATGTGTGTACACGATTTCGATACAACATAATATTACTATATTATGTCGTTATTAGTTATTACGTTTTGCCGTTAGTCAACCGACCGAAAATATATCAAATTGCCATTTTGTCAACGTATATAGGGTACCTACATAATATTATATAATATTAAAATCTAGACATATAAAGTCATATTATATTATAATAGGTACCTACGTCAAATGCCTTGGCGACGTTAGATTAATATAGGTACCAGTGGTAATAATAGTAAAATATTGTTCTCTGACAAAACAGCTGGATGGGGTGTATGTGCAAATGTGCAATCGTCCCCGTATAAATAGGTAGGTACGCCGCAGATATTACAATTACATAGTACGTTATATGTGCTACAGCAGTATGATGGTAGTAAGTTACGTATTTAACTGCTATCAAGGGGAGGAGTGACTTTTTTAAAGGCACGACATTTTTTTTATATGGATCACCTTGATCCTCGGGAAAACGAGCGGCTTATTTGGTCCGACTGGCATAATATTATAATATGAGGATTGTAATGTAGTCTTAGACCTCAGTATAATACATTATATTATTATGTATACATACACCCCGACATTCTTTGTACACCACTGCTGTAATTAATACGCACTCGCGGACGACGACCAAGAAAACTTTTTAATTGAGATTCGAAGGACACGACTGACGTGGAGGGGAGGACTGGGAGACTCCTCGTTTTCTTATTACTGCAGACCTCTGACTGACCGTCGATGGAAAATCGTGGACAACCGCTCTCGGTTTTATAATATGTAGACCGCAGCGGCGACGGCCCAAGTGACGTCATAATACCCATAATATAAGCCTGCAGGTTTTCCTCTATATCGAGTACATTTCTATAGGTATTCAACTTGTGGCTAACGCGTGCTACCTCTACTTACTATTATCGTAATAATGACGTTATCTTTATAATATTATTATTAAAACATAACATACCAAATACGAATACACCGTAATATATGGCGTGTAGTGAAAACCTGGCTTTATGGATTATATGTTATTGGCGAGAGGGTAAACTGAGATGTCACTATCACGACGTTTTCTGTCAGTCAGCCTTAAAAGAAAACTGTGTCCTACATTTTCATGTTGTCGTTCTCGAGTGCGACGAAATTCCGTTCAAACGAGTCTAGCAATTTGCTATTCTTGTATAATAATATGATGTATACCTAAATCTATACGGTCATCGTCACTTCGGGTCCGATGAAACACGTATAGACCGTTTCCCGAGGATTAAGCGCCAAGGGCGGTGAGCCGGTGCGTCAAGGTCTATATATATATATACTTAAATCAATCTCCTGTGTTTATCTTCCATAAAATCTGTTAAAATAGAGTACAACACTACAGGTTACAACATACTATATTTGGTCACAGATATGGTTTCTTATAGTTTATACATTGAAAACTTTCGTATTTTTAAAATTAAAAATAATCATTGACAATCAGAATAGATATAAGTAAGTATATACAATATTTATTTATTATAAATGTGGATAACATAAAAGTGTATTCATGGGCAAGGGTTATAAAACATAGTATTATGTACTACAAACTTCAAAATTTAAAAATATATTAAAGTTTGTAGAGTAAATTGGCGGTAACTATGAATTTAATAGTGACGGAACAAAATATTGATTTAGCCAGTGATTCCGGAAGTATAGAATTTTCGCTCTTTGCTGAGTATATTTCCGAGACAACATGATAACTGTTTGACGTTTATAATATTTATTTGATTTTAAAAAGACAAAAATGTTTTACATATTTTTTTTAATATGGGTACTTTTAAAATTTGTTTATAAAAGTATAATATTATGATGATTGATTGAATATAATTAACTTGACATTTTAATTTATTCTCGTGAATGATTTTTCAGAATAAATAAATGATGAATAATTGTATTGACATTTCGTTTATTATAAAAGTACTTTATAAATATTATTATACTTTACAGTTATAACAAGAGACAATAATTTATTATAATAATATTCCTTATTACATTTAAATTTTCAAATAACAAAATACTATCTAACCTACTCCGAAATACTGTACATTATAATATTATACAAAAATATTATCTAAATGTTTATACAACGAACTATATAATCTTAATAATTTGATTTTAATGTAAATATTATTATAATAAGATTTTGAAACATATTTTTAATTTGAATACTAGTTAAAGTTATCGACAGTTCATCTTAGAATTTCTTAATGCCGACATATATTCAATCTACAAGTGAAATTAAACTCTCGAATGTAAATATTTTTTACTTATTTTCCAAAAAAGGTAAAAACTATGTAATAAAGTTTCCATAAAATACGATGTTTTCACGGTGCCTACGCATAATATGTATAGGTATATAAATGAATATAATAATATGCAAAATGAATTAAACCAGCTTGGACCTTGGTTTCCATAAACTTTTATAGAATTTAATAACGCTTCGGATTTACCTCTGAAGTTATCTTTAATGAAAATTATAATCAACGTTATACTTAAAGAGTAATAAGTTATTCTATAATTTTTGACAATAAATTGCATACTGAATAATGAATGAATTCAAATAAATTACTAAGAAAAATTAAAGTTTTTATAAAAGTTGTAGTATATATTTGAAAAAAAATAATTTTCAATGCATACCTATTCCTAAATAACTGTCATAGGTATCGAACCATAAATTATAGAGTTGAGCATTAAGCATATTATAGTTGCGACTTTGTCACTCCAAAAATGTAATCAGGTAAGTTAACGTTTACTTCGCGTAAAGATACACGAGATATCGCATGTATACATTTAATACCAAAACATAAATAGGCATTGGTAAGTCTCAGAGGACCATCTCATTGATTTGTATATATTTTAGAGTGAATTGTATTTCTTGCGACTGCCACCGCCACGTGAAATACACTGTATGCATCGTTATAAATATATTATACATATCTACACCAGACTACACCTTATGGATTATACAGCTATAATATTATAGGTATAGTTAATAAATTATGATTCGAGAGACAGCTGTTTTCATTGATTTTTATTGTGTTTTGAATACCACAGGTATGCACCTACTAAAATTAAATTATTACATAATTATTTATGAAATGCATGATTTAAAATTTAAAAAAAAAATATAATACTAACATTTAGTATTTGTCAACATTGTAGAAAATTTAATAAACTTCAAAATATAAACTATGAACAAATAATGAAATAGAATTAACAGATTACTTTAAAAAAAATCTTAAGTTATTTATATTGCAAAAAAAAATATTAAATGGTTCAACATTTAAATTAAGAATCATAATGGGTTTTACTGCAGCATCTGAAAATGTCTTTTTCCAAACTACAAACCATCAACGAGATTAATTGAGAAAAGTCAAAGGACTTATCAAAAATATGAACCTTAACGCATCATTAATTGAATATGAAATTTACTAAAAGTTTTGATATTTTACTTGTATATTAATTAAACAGTTAAACCTAACTTAAAACTGAAATTCAACAAAGAGTGATTATTATTTCTTGAGTTTGTCTTTTTATTATTTATTAGGAAGGTAATATTGTACATTTATACTAATATAAATGTTATATATTATGAAGTATAATTTAAATTTGAATTAGTTTTATAATATGCCTACCAATTACCATCTACCATTATAATTATATTTCTTCAAACACCTAAATTAGATGTTTTATTTTTTTTCCTCTGCTTTTTTCTTCTGTAAATATTATTACCCAAAATTATTACTAAAGTTCCTTTATTTTTACATTGTAATTAATTTTTCAAAGTCTAAAACATTATTATATATGTATATATATTCAGTATTTATATATATATTTTTTGAAATTCTAATTTGTACAATGTGTATTGAGTCATAATATTTTAAATTTACAAATACCTGTTATACTATAATTATTTTCAAATAAATTGGGTTTACGCTTAATACAAATACTACCTATATTTTGCGTTAAGCAGTTTGCACCAATCACAAATCTAATAAAAATATAGTTTTGAACTAGCTACCCAAAATTGTTTTGCCCAGTAAACTGGATTTCATGCTTTATGTTCTCTTTATTAATAACTATTTCTTACTGAGCTTATTTTTTATTTTTGCATCTTAAAAAACATTCTACTCTGAATTATAGATAACAGACAACAGTTACTCGTATAACATTAAATAGTGTATATATAGTTTCGCGTACTTATCAAAATCATGTAATTT